TGACAGCCGCTAGAGGGCACTGGTGCAACTTATATGTGTTTTTTCTTCTTCATTATGCATTTTTTGGCTGGTGCGACTCATGATGTTGTTGGTCTGTCCGGCAACCAAGTTATGGTACAACAACCGGGGCAATTTTTGGTTAAAAATTGTGTTTGTTACCGAATCGTTCCAAAAGGAAGGCGTTGGACAACTGAGGTTCCACTGTATCTGTCCTACAGTACGTAAAATAAACAATAATTTACAAATACAAAATGGCTGCAGTAAACAACAGTGGGCCATTATATTAGTATGACTGAGCTGCCTGATGTAGTGCAGAGCTCCATTGAGCTTTGGACCAATAAAGGTGTAATAAACTGATTCAATTACACACATCCTTCCTTCTAATGATGTTCCATTCCATACACAAAAAAAATTGTAGTTTGAGAATTTTCTTCACTTCCACATTTGCATTTTTTTTTTCCTGGGTTTAAATGGCAGGAAAGTGTAAAATAAGTGTGTTATACTGCAACCAGCTACTGTCTCAGAACTGTAACCACAACCAGTGTTGTAAAATAGAAACAATTTATAGAAATGACCTCTCCAAAAAAAAAAAAAACATATTAGTTAAATATAGCATATAGCTAAAGGTTTGCCAGACCTCGACTGATCATAAGAAACAAACAATCGTTTGAACATATAATCAAACACAGATGTAGCAAATGTGTCAGATGTGACAAATAACTGTGGGTAGTTAGTGTAAGCGCGTTTCAGTGTAGGTTTCAAATAAAATGAAAACGATGTGAATGAGATAAGCAATCAGTTTGAATGTAACAGAAAATCTACCCGACATTTCATGCTAATTTGTTTTGTATTTGTATTGTTATCATTAGCCAAAACAGACCACTAAACCTCATCACCTGAACATCCAAAGGTAAAGGATTGTGGGTAAACACATCAGATTAAATGAACCCTGACAATGCGGCTCCCTGTGAAGTAAGTGATGACTATGAAAAAAATGTAAACACTCACTAATGGACAGGAAACACTGATTATAATGTGAACTATTAGGAGATAAGGGGCGAACAAGATACTGCTGTATGCAGATGATGCAGTTATACTCTAACAGTAACAGTTTGGTTAACCGATAACTACACATCCACGTTCATTCAGACACTGATACAAACAGGATAGAGTCTAAAAGATGTTTTATTTTGAAAATGTAATAATCCTTCAAAGCTCAGCATCTTGCTACCAGTCAGTTGATTATTATTTGATTGCTTATACAAACTTTTAATTACGTAGGTTAAGAAACTCTGTTGCATGGATTTTACTAAATGTTTTTTTAACTCTCACGGGCCACACAAAACAGCTTGGCCGGCCGCATTTGGCCCCCGGGCCATGAGTTTGACACGTATGGTCAAGAAGAAAGTGGAAAGATTTGACAGAACTGTGCTTCTACGTTTATGGCTTATTCTTAATAGACATTATTTGCATAAAAACTACATGAATCGCAGTAATATTTGATCAAAATACTTTTGCTTTTACACTGCAAAATGTACTCAATGGACATGAAGGGTTCTTATACGAAAACAAAAACGCTTAAAAGTGTGTTCGCTGAAGTTTGTTTGAAACCTAAGTATGAAACCCATAAAACGTGTTGTTGACTTGCTGCAATATCTGTGGTCTGCTACTGTCTCTTTAAGAAAACAGACCCTGCGCTGTTGTCTGACACGAAAAAAATGTGAATGAAATCCAGCCATTCATAAATATAGGGCCAGTGTCGTGCTAAGATTGGTCACGGCTTCTTTATGAATTATTCAGTAGCCTCTTCTCCGCCATTGGCTGCGTTCCTTGAGTGACGAGACGCCTCCACCAATCAGAGCTCGTGCAGAGCACAGCCACTGGAGCCCTAGGGAAAAAAGCAGCGGGTCATTAAAGAAAATCTCAGTCAAGTTTTGTGAGTCGGTGAGCGAGCAGCGACGACAGTGAGTGAAGAAAATACAGGGGACACGACACGCTGTGTGTTGTGTTTTTTTTTTCTTTCAAACGTGCGTGGATTTTTTTCTGCTTCTATTTCTGTTCTTGGAGAAGATTTATCTACGAAAAACAGGTAAGAAGCTGCATTTC